AGGACGAGGAGAAGGACGACGACGACGACGACGACGACGACGACGACGACGACGGAGAGCCTCACCGAACCGGAGGAGGAGGAGGAGGAGGAGGAGGAGGAGGAGGAGGAGGAGGAGGAGGGGGAGGCTCACCATACCCATACGGTCGGACCTACAGTCAACCCGTATAAGAAGGTTGCGGGGTATGGATGCAAGGGCATTGGAGGCCCACCTGAACGGTTTTCGAACGAGGTTGGCCGGCGAGAGTCGCTGAGGACGGGCCGAAGGGGCAAGGATGCAAGGGTACCCTTGGGAAGGTTGCCCATCCTTACTGTGCGGGTTGACTGTAGAACAGAAGACCACCCTTCAGGAGCATGAGGCCCTCCGCTGGCCAAAACACCCCAAGCTATGGATCGCTCGGGGGTACCCCCTCCCCCAGGATGCACAAGGACATCCACCAAACATGAAGATCATCAGTGCACCCTCCCCGAACCGACCTCGATCTTGTGCCGCGGTCCGACAGTGGGAGGAGTGACAAGAGGGGAGAGAGAGAGAGAGGAAACAAAACAAAAACAAAACAAAAAACGGGGCGGTGCCGCCCACCCGAGGTGGCCTGTGGTTAGGCCTGCAGCGGGGCTCCGTCTCCCGCCGCGGGCCCCCGAGGAGGAGGAGGAGGAGGAGGAAGAGGAGGGGGAGGGGGAGGGGAAAGGGGAGGAGGAGGAGGGCAGGAGGAGGGGAGGCGGAGGACGAGAGGACGGGAGCGAGGGGAGGAGTGCGGAGGAGGAGGAGGAGGAGGAGGAGAAGGAGGTGGAGGAGGAAGAGGAGGAGGAGGGGAGGGAGAGGAGGGGGGAGGAGGGGGAGGAGGGAAGGGAGGAGAACGAGCAGGAGAACGAGGAGGAGGAGGACGAGGAGGAGGAGGAGGAGGAGGAGAAGGAGGAGGAGGAGGAAGAGGGGGAGGAGGAGGGGAAGGAGGAGGAGGAGGAGGAGCTGGGGTTCGTCAGATGTCTGCATCGAAGGACAGCAGAGCTGAACGAGCCCGGGCAGTCCCGCTGCGTCTGCTCGGACGAGGGGATCACACGGCGGCCCTGCGGGAAGCGCTGGCACCTGGAGGCCCTGGAGGCCCCGAGAGCCCCATGAGGTACCCTCAGACATTTCTCCTCGCCTGCGATACACATCCTCCGTATCATCATGCCTCCCCAATCTCGAACCACCGACGTCGCCTCCTTCCCCTCCTCCCTCCTTTTCCGACGACGACGACGACGATGGCGACGACGACAACGACGGCGGAGACGACGACGACGACGAAAAGAAAAGACAATAAAAGAACAGCAAAGAGAAGAAAAGAAAAGAATAGGACAGAAAAGAAAAGAAAAGAAAAGAAAAACGACCTCGAGGACAATATCGACACCGACTAAGACAAAAGACGACGAGGAGGATGACGACAACAATACGACAACCACACGATCAGAGGATGACGACGAAGACTGCGAGAACGACAGCGACGACAAAACGATGACGACGACGACGACGAAGACGGCGACGGCGACGGCGACGGCGATGGCGACGGCGATGGCGACAGCGACGGCGACAGCGGCAACGAATCCCGACGGCCTCCAAAGGTGTCCAGACGTCTCAGGAGCTGCCCCGAGGTCGCCTGGAGGTCTTCAGGGGTCCAGAGAAGGTGGGCCCCGCGCCCAGGAGCCTCAATTCGCGAGTCGCGAATCTCGATCCTCGATGGAGGGGAAGAAAAAGAGGACCACGATCAAGATTGAACACGGAACGTCGGTGTCGAACTTGGTGGCCGTCCAATATGATCATCGTCAATTCGCGGATACGTAATCCTGTCGAGTCGGCGACGATCAAGATCGGCGTAGACAAGATCCCGCAACATCGTGTAGTTTGCGACATCCTAGCCCTACCCCCACCAACCATCGATTCTCCCGAATCGACGGGAGGCGGGGTGGGGTGAGGATTTCGCCACGCGCCGGACGAATTCCGAAACCTCGTTACCTCCGCGTCCCATCGAGGTGCCTGAATCATTGATCGGCGAGGGTAGGGTTCGGATCTCGCCGCCGAATCTTGGTCACGGTCATCGTGCTTCTTCCCTCGACTCGAGCCTCGATGCCAGAACTTTGGCGGCGGCGGCGAGCACCGCGGCGACTGCGTCCTCGTACGGCGCGGCCGAGCCCTGGCCGCAGGCGGCGAAGGGATCCTCGGGCGCCGTGGGCAGCGGGCGCTCCGCAGGGTCGTCCTCGGAGAGGGGGCAGCTCAACACAAGGCCACAGGAGGACGCCAACGAAACTCGGCTGCACCCATCGGTCGGAAGAAGTGGGCAGAAGCACGAAGTAGGAAGGCGTGGAAAAAAGATTGAGTGTCCGCCCGCCCCCCAAGGAGGACGGAAAAGGCGACGCCACTCGATCATTGAGGTAGGAAGGCGCTTATAGAGTAGATTGGAATCTGGGAACCAAAAAAAAACCTGCTTCCAACGACCGATGGGCAAGTCAGAGCGACACCAGGCAAGAAAGGTGACGCTACTCGAGCATTGAAGTAAGAAGGCGCTTTTGTCTATATATAGACAAAAATATGTAGATGCACATATAATTATATGTCTATGTATACGCATATGCAAATGTAAATACATATGCGTGTATATATACATAGTATATATATATATATATTTATGCTCAACATCTTCCCCTGACGCTTAATATATATATATATATATAATATTATATTATTATATATATATTATTTACCATGTGTATATATATATCACCAGAAAACATTTCTGGAGATTCCCCCTTGTAGAAGGAGACGCCCGACTTCAGGGCAAGCAAGAGCGACCTCAGGCAAGAGTGGCCCCCGGAGCGCGGCTCGCGGGCCCGCTGCGCGGGGTGCGGCGGCGGCGGCCCGCGTGCTCGGGCGGGGCCCCGCGGCGCCCCCCGCAGGACGCGCCTCGGAAGGCACTCCCGGCAGCCGGCCAAGCACCCAGATCGGATCCTGGCCGTGCTCCTGGGCCCGGGAATCGGCGCAAAGACGTCCTCCTGGCCTGCGCAGGAGGGCCTCCGTATATCCTTACAGTAGGGGGGCCCTGCCAGAGGAAAGCTTCCACGAGAAAGCCAACCCCGAGACCCAAGCACGTTCATTGGTCCTTGGTGTGGGGACGTAGCGCTTCCACAGCAGAACCATCGAAACCCAAGAAACCCAGGGCACCCTGGAGGCAAGCTGGGTGTTTCTGGCCATGGGCCCCCACTGTACATATAGAGAGAGAGATGGGACGTAGAAGGACAGACTAGTACTGTGCGTCCTCCTTGGAGGCGTGCGTCCGACCAGATGGTGTAACACAACAGCAGTGCAGCGCATCTCGCTGCCGCGCTGGCACGGCCAGGAAGCGCTCACCGACGAGCATACAACATGAGATCTATGAGCGCGCGCGTCGCCGCTTTCGACGCGACACGCGCTTTTTCTGTTGCGTCGGCGGCTGGGCAGAGGTTGCTGCTCCGGCGATCGGGCATCAGTGGGGCGCGGTTGATGCAAATTGGGCCGCAGTTCACCTGAGGAGAGGAGGAGACCCCGGCGCGACGGGAAGAGAGGAAGCCGGGCCCGCTCAGGAAAGTCCCGCTGCGGGGGACGGAACGCTGGGGGGGGGGCCAGCCACACACACACACACACACACACGCACACGCACACACACACACACACACACACACACACACGCACACACACACACACACACGCACACGCACACATGGAACATCAGGGAAACAATCGGCGGCGAGCGAGGGGGGGAAATGATAAGGAGAAGGCCTTCTCAGAAAGCGGCGGGACTTCTCAGAAGCCCTCGCGCCTTCTGAGAGTTTGCTTCGTCGGGGGAGGCTCAGAGAACTGCTCACAAGGCCGGGGGGGCCTCCGGACCTTCTGAGAAGGCCTCCTCCTTCTCGCTTTCCCCCCTCGCTCGCCGCCGACTCTGGGGACGATACGCACACACGCACACACACACACACACACACACACACGCACACGCACACGCACACACACGCACAGAGTTTCAGGGAAGCGAGCAGTGGCAGAAAAAGCAAAGACTCCGAGGCCCGCGCGGGCCTCCGAGAGCTTTGTTGTGCTTCTGCCCCTGCGCGCGCGCCCCCCACGGGAAGATGCGCACCGGTCCTGGGCCCGTACAGCGGGGGGGCATGGCGACCCCAATCTCGGACCTGCTGGGAGGAGCTCGCCTGGCCCGGGAACTTGGGGCCCGGCCCTGGGATATGGGATGGGGGGAGGGCGTCCACCGTCGATCGGGGGAGGAGGAGGAGGAGGAGGAGGAGGAGGAGGAGGAGGAGGAGGAGGAGGAGGAGGAGGAGGAGGAGGAGGAGGAGGAGGAGGAGGAGGAGGAGGAGGAGGAGGAGGGAGGAGGAGGGAGGAGGAGGAGGAGGAGGAGGAGGAGGACGAGGAGGAGGGAGGAGGAGGAGGAGGAGGAGGAGGCGGAGGAGGAGGACGAGGAGGACGAGGACGAGGAGGACGAGGAGGACGAGGAGGAGGATGCGTCCGAATAGCCCCTTTTCTCTGAGCGGCCAGACCTGTCGACTCGTCGAGGGGGCTACTTATAGGGGAGGGGGAAGGCTTCTCGGAAGAAGGCTGCCTCTTAGAAGGCGCCGGCATCACAACCGTAAAGAAAGCCCGGGCCTTTTAAGAAGCAGGGATGTTTCTAAAAAGCCTTCCCCCCTCCCACATACCCCCCTTCTGCGCGTGGCCGACAAGCTTGTCGGGTGGAACTCGGGGATTGGTGGGACGCACAAGGACATACTAATACTCTGTCCTCGTCGGAGGCGTGCGTCCGACCCGAACATATAGCACAACCACCTTGTAGTATCTCGTTTCCCGAACGGTATGGCCAGAAAGCACCCGCCACGGGGCATCTACTATAGAAATTCTCGGCGCGCGCGTCGCCCCTTGCGGGGCGACGCGCACATAGTATTAGTACCCGTGGGTCGGAAGAAGTGGGTAGAAACGTGAAGTAGGAAGGCGTTGGAAGCATGTTGGGTTTCCACCCGCCCCCTGAAAAGTGAGGAGGGAAACCCGCTCGACTCTTGAAACAGGAAGGCGACCGAAGTAGACTGGGATCTGGGAGTCTAAGAACACCTACTTTCAACCACTGGCGCGCAGTATGTTTCAATGCGCCGACCTTGCAGACGTGTTGCAGCGGATTTGTGCGTGGATTTTTGCCAACGCAGCAAAACCCCCACACGGCAAGTGAAAAACGACGTGAATGTCGCGTGGATTTTTGTTTAGTCTCCATTCCTGGCCAAAAAGAAAGCCGCACGAAATCCACCTCGAAATCCGCAACGAAATTTTCCAGGACACTCCGGGCCTACACCATCGTTTTCCGAACGAGATCCGTTCTGCGATGTTGGCGCCACGATATGTTGGTGCGACGCCGACAGATCGATGTCGTGGCCTGGCAACGCCAAGGCGGCCGGGTGCGGCCAACAGAAGCTCGTTTCCCCCTCCAGCCTGGGGCAAAGGCCGCGGCCCGCAGGCAGAAGAGGGAGCTTCAGCAGCGCAGGTTCTGATGTTCTAAACAGTCGCCCTCCCCCAGCTTCGGCAGCGCGGGCTCTACTGATCCTCCTGCCCAGACTCAAGCGCTCGATGACGCGAGTTGGCGTGCGCAGAGAGCGCGCGCCT